TGTCTTCGTCTTCAGAGGTGACAGAGGTGTCACATGACTTGGGAGGTGCGGAAGGGGAGGCAGCAGAGGTGGAGGGAGTGTTGCAGCAAGAGAAGGCCCCTTGTAGCTGAGAGAGGTGATGCCGAGGAGGAGGTGCAGCAGCCTACACCATCCCCTTCACTTCCACAGAGGCGGACAACCCAAGGGAAGCGTGCTGTCCGTGGTGGAGCTAAGGAAGGTGCAGCCAAGGAGAGGCCCAAGAGAGCTGCTCACCCAAGGGATTTCCTCAAGTGTGAAAGGCTTGGGGGTCCCAAGGCATTGCTGGTCCAGGAGGAGGAAGATGAGGAGGAGAAGGGAGCAGATTTGTTGCTTCGGAGTCAACTTACCTCATGAACCGGCTTCAATGGAGGAAACACTTGCTGGAGATGATCAAGAGGCTTGGTTGGCTTCAAGGGAGGATGAGTTTCAGAGCCTCATGGAGAATGGAACGTGGACCCTCACCAATCTGCCCCCAAGAAGAAATGCATTGGACTGCACGTGGATATTACGTGTGAAGACCGATGCAGAGGGGAAGTTGGAGAGGCGCAAAACAAGACTTGTGATCAAGGGCTTCCAGCAGAGGGAGGGAGTTGACTTTAAGGAGGTGTTTGCCTCTGTTGCCAAGGCTCCTACGCTCCGGGTGTTGCTAGCAGCCGCTGCCGTTTGTGGTTGGAAGGTGGAGCAAATGGATGTGAAGACGGCTTTCCTCTATGGCGTGGTAGATGAGGAGATCTACATGAAGCAGCCAGAGGGGTACGACGATGGGAGCGGACGTGTTTGCAGGCTCAACAAGGCCATCTATGGCCTCAAACAAGCTCCAAGGTGCTTGTATGCAAGGCTGGTCGAGGCGTTGGAGGCTCTTGGCTTCCAAGTTAGTGGGTGCGACGAGAGTCTCTTCATGACCAAGGGGGGGGAGGAGAAGGTGTTTCTCCTTGTCTACGTCAATGACATTCTCCTATTCTCTCCATCCCTGGAGAGGATCAAGAGGTGCAAGGGAAGCTGAAGGAGACCTTTCAATGCAAGGCCCTTGGACCAGTGGGGTATTACCTTGGTCTTCACGTGGAGCGGGACGAGTTGAAGGGATGGTTGAGGCTTCACCAACACAAGTACCTTGCAGCCATGGGGGAGAGGTATGGGCTGGAGGAAGGGAGGAGTGTGAAGACTCCTCTACCCTCAGGGTTTCAGCTACACCTTGATGAAGAGGAGGGTGAGGTGTTGGAGCCTGAGTTGCAGCGTCGGTTCCAGTCAATGGTGGGAAGCTTGATGTATACTTCGGTCAACACTCGCCCCGATATTGCGTTCTCGGTTTCGCAGCTGGCTCGTGTGGTGTCTAGGCCACTTCAAGAGCACCTTGATGCAGCAGAGAGGCTGGTGAGGTAATGCATGGCAACTTCAAGGGTGGGGCTGCAATATTCAGTGCATGGGCAGCTGAAGCAAAAGGGAGTGGAGGAGGTGAGCTTGAAGACCGGTGCACCTGCAAGGCGTGGACACTTGTACCTCTCGTGCTTCACCGATGCTACCTGGGCAAGTGACATCAGTGATGCAACATCCCATGGTGGCTATGTATGCTGTGTTGGAGGGAGTCCAGTGAGCTGGAAATCTAAGAAGCAAGGGGAGATAGCTCACTCATCAACGGAGAGCGAGTACATGGCGTTGTTTCATGGGATGAAGGAGGTGGTTTGGATGAGGAGGTTGCTTGAGGAGTTGGGGCAGGAGCAAGAGGGTCCTACACCTGTGTTTTGTGACAGCCAAGGAGCAATTGCAATGGCTCACAATGCTGTGCTCCATGGGCTGAACAAGCACATGCATATCAAATGGCATTGGGTGAGGAAGGAGGTGAAGAAGGGCACGGTCTCCTTGCACTACATCAACACTACCAAGCAACCTGCAGATTTTTTTACCAAGCGGCTTGCAGAGCATCAGCATTGGAACTGTGCCACTTTGTGTGGCATGTCCTTCAACTAAGGGAGGCAGCTTCAGGGAGCAGCTAAGGGGTGAATGAGAGCACGATGAGGGGGAGTTTGTTATGCCAACACATTACAGTGGCACGGTCATCGAACTCCCATTCAGCCTACAAGCCTGCTCAGCTTCTGGAATTTTGTGGGGAGGTTGTTCAACATTTGTTATTCAAACTCTCAAGGTTTCAGAGTTTTTGAAGGAGTACACAAGGCATGACAACATTTTAAGTTTCAAGACTTATGGCATCCCGGAAGTGTGTGTTACTCTTTTTTTGGTAACACCCGAGTTCACCATTTCAGCTGCTGACTCGTCTGACGAGCTTTGATTGGTCTGAAATTCGGTCTTTCAGTCCTTTTCCCTGTTGGGCAGGTTTTCACCAAGTTTCAGAATGATCCAACGTCGGAGCATTGCGTGACAGCTGTCGAAAGTCACTGTTCCGTAGTCATGGTGCACTGTTGGCAGCATTTCCCTTGCCACCCTTTCATTGTTGTCATGCCAATGGTGCAGGGACAGGGAATGAGACAAGAAGTACAGGTGGTCAAGTGGGACTTTACCACCCTCTTTTTGAGAAGTTTGGTCTTTCTGGAAGCTGCTTGCAAGAGGGTGCAAGTGGGAAGACAAGCTGACTCATGGTTGGCTTGACTCACCATTGGTAGCCTTGGGTACAGCTCTGAACATCCAAGTTTCGTTGGCTTTGCTGACCTATCTAGGATGTTTTCATCCTTCTCTAGCCTTTCTCCCCTAGGACTCAACCTTCTCTGAGTTCTCAGGATGATCCCAACCCCTTAAGAGTTCCCTAGGCCATGTTGTACTCACCTCTTCCTTGTATCAATAAGAATACACGTTTTTCAGCCGAGCTTACGTTTGCAATCACTGCGTAGCGCATACACCTCTGATGAAAGCAAGCAATACACCGTTGGAAAGCAGACACTTAAGGCTAACTGCTATCCAAGTTTCAGGATCGTGTGTTATTGGAGCTGATCGTGACGGCGTTTTGAAAAGAGGCGGTTCGAAGTCGTCAGTTTCTACTTAGGCGGTTTCATGGGCTTCCGCGACCCCTAAGTGGACTGTAGACTATAATAGTACTCAGTATAGTCTGCCCCACTACAGCCTAGACAACATATAAGTCATTTGTGGGGGGTAGCAAAACAACCAACGGCCACAAGACCAATCAAGAGATGCAAACAAACAAAAGCTCATGGTGGATCTCAAGATCACCACGACAGACGGAGGACAATCAGACTCTGACTCAGTAAAAAGACTCGTGAAGTAGTCTGGACGACAGGTACCAGCAAAGTCAACGAGCTGAATAACTAAGGCAGACGCGCAGCAGACTCAAAGGAAGGGTCAGTGAAAATTGTGGCCAGGAAACACGTGATAGTAGGACTAGCGGCACGAGCAAGGTCAGACTCCAGGTCGGGAACGCTAGGAAGAGAGGACGCCGGAGGCGACAGCAGGGCAACCCGCTGTGGAACAGAGGAAGGACGAAGTTCCATAGTGTGTGTGTGCCGGGGACTGGTGGAGGACGAGCGCGACGAGTACGACTAACAGTGCGAACAGGCGAGGCAGGATGGAATTCAGACTCACGACGCTTTGTCCGGGAGTCTGTCTACTCAGGGTAAGGAGAAGGAGCAGGCAGTGGGGAGCTAGGCTGTAACGACGGCTCTGAATGGTCAGGCGGAGGACATAGTAGAGGTGGAGTAATGCCAGTGGAAGATGGAAGACTAAGAACCTGGCGAAGTGCCGCACCAGGTGGTGGTAGGGACGACTGCGGCTGCGGCAAGAAACTCGGTCGCCGTTGCGCAGTACTCACAGTACCCAGCACCTCCAGCACCCTCAGCTACAGTACCTCCAATACCCCTAGCACCAGCACCTCCAGCACCTCCAGCACCAGCAGCTCCAGCACCCCTAGCACCAGTACCTCGAGTACCAACGTCTCCAGCACCTCCAGCTCCAACACCTCCAGCACCAGTACCTCCACTAACAGTGCCTCCAGTTCCAAAATTGTGAAGACCCATCAGCAGGCGGCTGACATTCTCACCAAGCGCCTGGCTGAATCTGAGCATTGGAAGGGCATGAAGCTTGCTGGGATGAGTGTACATTGAGGGTGCATGATTGAGCTATGGCATGTGAGATGATGGTTGGCAGCCAGAGGGGGAGTTTGTTGTGTGATGCTATCATTTGCATTCACATCTGTCTGCCTCCCATATATGTTCGTGCATTGCATGCGTGGTGTGAGCGTGTGCAAAAATTTGTGTTTGGTGTGGTTTCGATTTTCTGAGTGTGTGTGTGTATGTTATTTGGCTTGAGCAGACATCTGAAGTAACTTCTCTGCTCAAGAGCTTTCCGACGAGCCAAGGATCGCTTCTATCGGAGCACGAACAAGAAAGTTACGAACATTTTGAAGTTCGTATGCTTTTGATATTTGGTTGCGGTGACTATGGGAAGTTGTGGGGTTGACTCCATATGGGGTACAGACTTTTGGGGGTTGTGAAATTCGTCAACATCAATGTAGATGCTGCCAAGTGGTTGGGAGGAGCCAAACCAGGTTGGCAAGTGTGGCCAAGTTGGGCAAGGTGGATGGCATGGGTTGGGAAAGTGACAAAAGTGAAAGTGGGGTTGCCTATGGAGAGGGGAATTGTGTGGCATGGGGTTTCCTTGGTTGGAGACTCCCTTGGGACCTTCCCTCTCATCCTCCTCATCTCCTCCTACCTGGTTTCAAGCTACTCTAACTTTCTTGTGAAATTGTGAGAACTCTTGTGATTGAGTTAAGATTCTATGGCAGCTTACCCCCTAGTTCGCCAAAATACATAACTCGCAATATACTTCACTTTTCGGTACGATTCAACTTGGGAGTTGTAGCTACGGTCTAGGGCTACAACATATCTGAAATTGGTGGAGTTTGAACGGTGCGTGTTTCGTCGACAACGTTTCTTGTGAGCGCGACGATTCTGTCCAGAAATTGAGACCAACGATTTTGTGATATTTCGGCCCCTATTCTTCATAGACTCGATCCTTAGTCTCTAACATCCAGCACCAATACCTCCAGTACCAGCATCTCCAGCACCTCCAACTCCAACACCTCTAGCACCAGTACCTCCAATACCAGCGTCTCCAGCACCTCCAACTCCAGCACCTCCAACTCCAGCACCTCCACCACCAGTACCTCCAATACCAGTGCCTCCAGCACCTCCAGCACCAGCACCTCCAGCTCCAGTACCTCCAGCACCAGCGCCACCAGCACCTCCAGCTCCAATACCTCTAGCTGCGCCACGAGCGTGGCCTCGTCGAACAACCGACTCGCGAAACTGCTGCGGCGAGAGCGCCTCCCGCCGACAAGACTCCTGCGACGGTCCACTCCCAGAACCTCCAGCAGAAGTACCCACGACTCCACCACCACTAAGACGCTCCGCACCCCCAGAACAAGCACCCCCAGAGTCAGCACCCCCAGAACCAGCACCCTCAGAGTCAGCACCTCCAGTGTCACCACCCCCAGCAGCACCGGAGCCTGCAGCAACAGGCAGCAGAGGCGGCGAAGACGACCGAGGCGGAAAACCAAAAGGGGTCTCCAAGCGCGGTGAGCGGCAAGTGGCCGCTGTGTCGTCAGCAGCAGGGTCACCCCCCTCAGATGGGCCAGAGGTGTCAGAAGAGACCTCCAAAGGCTCAACAAAAGGGGGGTGGGTCAACCTGAGACACACCTGAGGGAGCAGGACCCTGTGGAGAGGGTCTACCGGGGGGAGGGGCTTGGGACCATGAAAAGAACCGGGGGGGAACAGGGGAAGTGCTGTGGGGGTGGAGATGGTAGAAGCAAACCCACTCGTCAAAGGTGACGTCCTGGGAAGACAGGACGCGGCGCATGGCAGGGTGTTAAAACTGCTAGGGTGGGACATCGGTGGGAAAGCCAAGGAAGACGCAGTGGAGAATGCGAGGAGAGAAATTACCTACGGTAGGATCGCAGACAAGGGAAAGTGAGCCCCGGACCCGAAACACGGATGCATCGCCAACCTCCCCCGTCCAACGCAGTGTAGGCGAGGTCTCTGGAACAGAGACATGTGGCCAGAGGTTGAGCTGATGCGCGGCATATCGGACCACAAACGTCCACAGAAAATGGGAAGTAGCCGCATTAATCATGGAGGTGCGAACAAACTCTATGATTAAGCCAATGCGACGCTTAGCAATCTCATTCTGCTGAGGAGATGCCAGAAGCATGAACGAGCCCGTAGATTGCGCCCCCCCGTTGCCTTTACGCGTCACTCGTTTCTGCCCTGCGCCCCACCCGTTTTTGCCACGTGTGTCACTTGGTTTTCTGCCCCGCGCCCCACACAATTTACCCCACGCATTGCCCCCCCAGCCCGATAGCGCGCAGCAGAACGCGCATAGTTGCGCGCGCAGACTTAGCCGCACGCGCAGCTTCGCGCACGTACGTCGCGGCCGCACGCACGCACAGCAACAGCCGTGCGCACGTACAGCTTGCCGTCTTTACCGCCCCACCCCTGAAAACCGCCGCCTCAGACCTGAAAACCGCCGCACCACCTGGAAATCCGCCGCCCCACCCTTGCAAACGAATCCCCAAGACCTGAACCCGCCGTCCCAGACCTGGAAACCGCCGCCCAACCTGGAAACCCGCCGCCCCAGACCTGAAAACCGCCGCCCCACCTGGAAACCTGCTGCCCCACCCGTTCCAGTCACCTCACCCGGAATCAGTCGCCCCACCCAGTACTCTCCACTGCACAGAACCACACAGAACCGTGCAGAATCACGCAAAACCACACAAAACCACACAGAACCGCCGCCTCACCTTCCCCACCCGTCACCCGCTGCCTTAACAGCCGCCCCACCTGACACCAGCCTCCCCACAAGCTGACACACGCGCCGCCAGTAGCTCCAGCAGATTACACTGCCGCCGGTAGCACCAGCAGCAGCTTCCACTGCCGCCAGCGCAAAGGCAGCAGCCTAGACTACCGCCAAGAGCACCACCAGCAGCTTAGCCTGCCGCCAGTAGCACCAGCAGCAGCTTCCACTGCCGTCAGCAAACCAGCAGCAACTTAAACTACCCCCAGCAAAACCAGCAGCCGCCCCAGCGCACCAGCAGCAGCTTAGGCTGCCCCCAGCAGAACCAGCAGCAGCTTCGGCTGCCCCCAGCAGAACCAGCAGCAGCTTAGGCTACCGCCAGCGCACCAGCGGCAGCTTAGGCTGCCCCCAGCAGAACCAGCAGTAGCATAGGCTGCCCCCAGCCCAGCAGTAGCAATTTAGGCTACCGCCAGCGCACCAGCAGCAGCTTAGGCTGCCCCCAGCAGAACCAGCAGCAGCATAGGCTCACATGGCGTGTACTAGGGTTCTACAGCAGCGGGGCCAGCCGCAGCACTCCCGGCAGTGGGGCCCTGTGGGTCCAAAGTGTGGCGCCCCCAGCAATGGCTCAGCTAGTAGTGGGCGAAGCGTCGGCCCCTGCGGGTACGGGGCCCCGACAGGCCCTGGTACTAGCACTACCTACTGGAGTCCTGACCACACTGCGTCTAGCTGCTACCGTCGACTCGACAACCTCCACCACCGCACTGGCCCTCGCGTCTTCGCCAGCGCACTGCTGCACCAGTTGAGTCTCACCTACCAGTTGGAGCTTTTCCAGCTGCACGAGTAGAGAACTGTGTTTCCAGCCTTGGTGCGTGTGTTGTTTCCAGTCCAAGCGTCTCTGAGCATCTTTGTGTAGGAGCTGCAGCTACCACCAGTCTAGCACCAGCCTTTGTCGCTGGCTCGGGTGCGACCTCACAAACTGCACAACTTTCCTTCACCCTAGACTCTGGAGTGTCCAGCTGTTTCTTTCGCGATTGTACTGACCTCACACCACTGCGCACTCCAGTCACTGTTGCCTTGGCTGACCCCAGCATGGACCTATAGTTGCCCACAGCACCACCATTCTTCCGTGTCCAGCGGGTCTCTCTGGGTTTCTCACAGGTTACTACACCCCCTCGTTCTCAAGGAACCTCGTGGGTGTCAATCACTCCACGACCTAGGTGTAGTCACCACTTTTCCACTGGATGAGCTTATCGCCTCCTGCACTGTACGTGCCACTGGGGCACCTCTGGCCACTTTCTACAGAGAGCCGGGCTCTGGTCTGTACTCACTACACACTGGGTCCCACCACACTGAGTCAGGTCAAGTCAGTTCAGGTAGCTGTTGTGTCATGCGACTGTCGGTCACTCACCCACCCGTCGGTCCTCTGGCACCACCGTCTAGGTCACCCGTCGTTCCCAAGTCCTAGTAGGATGGTACGTCACCGTCTGGTCTCAGGTCTCCCTGCGTTGCTTGCCCCGCTTCCTTGCTCGCCTGCGCCGCCGTGCACTTCTTGCGTCGAGGGTCGGCAGCGCGCCGCCCCTCACTCCTCCTCGTTCCCCCCCATCACGGCTCCCTTCCAGACCATGCACTTGGACGTTTGGGGCCCCTCCCTTGTCCTTGGCCCACGTCAGGAGCCCTACTTCCTGATTGTGGTGGACGACTATTCCCACTACACCACGGTTTTCCCCTTGCGACGAAAGGCCGACGTGCCTACCGTCCTCAAGCCGTGGCTACTAGCGTAAATTGTCGCCCTATGTGGGCTTGGCCTACACTCGGACTGTGGTGGTGAGACTTCTTCCACTCGCCTAGAGACGTTCTATCAGGGTCGGGGAGTCATTTAATCTTACATGCTACCAGCCTCGCCGCAGCAGAACGGAGTAGCCGAGCGACGCATCGGCCTGGTCATGGAGGTTGCCTGGACCTCCATGTGCCATTGCCGGTGCCCCTCGGTTCTTGTGGCCTCAGGCAGTCCGCTACACCGCGCACCAACTGAATCTGTGGCCCAGTGACGCACGGCCACGGGTGACGCCGGTCTCCCTCTTGTCAGGTTTACCGGGCGTAGCAGCTGACTTCCGCGTCTGGGTTTGTCTGGCTCACGTTTGCGCCCTTGGCGCGAACAAGTTGTCTCCGCGCACTCGTGCCTGCGTCTTTCTTGGCTTCCCTTTGGACGCCTTCGGCTGGGTGTTCTACGACCCGGTCACCTGCGGATTCTTCACTTCTCAGGACGTCACATTTGACGAGTTTGTCAGTTACTACAGGAGTCGCCCTCACCGAGGTACTGAGGTCTTTTCCCCCCCGCTGTTCCTTACCCTTGAGCCCCCCAGTCGCCCCGGTAGCCCCCCCCGCTTCGCGTCTTGCCCCGTCAGGTGTGTCGCACGTCACTACGCAGTCGTCCCCCCCGCAGCGTCCAGTCCCTATTGTGTCTGGGGGTGCGGGAGGTGCAGTTGCGGAGGGTGAGGGTGCTGGGGCTGCTGGAGCTGGTGGTGTCGGTTCTGGGGGTGCAGTGGGTGTGGGCGTGGAGGTCTCTCCTGTAGAGGGCACGGCAGCCTCGAGTTGGCGGCCTCGCCCCACGTCACCCCCTGGCTTCCCGGCCGTCCCGCAATTCCCTCCTCGTTCTCCTTTGCGGCAGGTTGCTGCAGAGCCTGGGGGTGTTCCTACGGGAGGTACTGGAGGCCCCGAGGGTGGCGCTGGTGGAGGTGCTGGTTCTGGGGGTGCTAGAGCTGGAGGCACTGGCACTGTGGCGCCTACTCCGTGCACTGTACGGTTCCTGAAGCGTGAGCAGCGTCTCCTCCGGTTGGAGAGGGAGGAGCGTGAGCAGTTTGAGAGGGCACAGCAGCAGCAGCAGCAGCAGCAGCAGCTACAGCAGCAGGAGAGAGTAGAGGAGGAGGAGTCATCGCGGCAGCAGGAGAGGGTAGCGCAAGAGTCCCGGTTGTAGCAGCGGGTGCAGCTGCAGCCGCAGCAGGAGAGGGTAGAGGAGGAGTCACGACCACACCAAGAGAGGGTAGAGCAAGAGACGCACCCGCAGTAGCAAGTGCAGTTCCAGACACAGCAGGAGAGAGTAGAGGAGGAGTCACAGCTGCACCAGGAGAGGGTAGAGCAGGAGTCCCACCCGCAGCAGCAGGTGCAGTCACAAACACAGCAAGAGAGAGTGGAGGAGGAGTCACGGCCGCAGCAGGAGAGGGTAGCGCAGGAGTCCCGGTCGCAGCAGCGGGGTGCAGCTCCAGTCGCAGCAGGAGAGGGCAGAGGCGAAGCCACAGGAGCAGCAACAGGGGCCGGTACCGTCGCATCAGACGCCAGAGGAGGCGGAACAGCAGCGACTGCGACTACCCTACCTCCCCGACCCAGCACCTGCACACTTTGTTCGTGGTCCCCTACCGTCCCCTCCTGTTCCCCCTGTTGAATCTCTTTCCTCGTCCCAGTGGACTCGTCGTTCTCCCCTCAGTCGTGCTGTATCCCCAAATTGTTGTCGGTCCCGTTACTGTGCAGATGGTCCGTTCCACCTTGTTCTTCACTCTCGTGTTTCACCTCCTCCTATCCTTCCACAGCCCCCCGAGTCGTCCCTCACTGTGCTTCATGACCCGTTGTCCGACTACCTCCATGCCTCCCGTCCTATCGTGTCCCGTGTTTTGTCTGCGTTGGTCCCTCACCCGACTGCACCTCTGTCGTCTGTCTCAGCTCTTGTTACCACTGTCGCTGGCTTTGCCTCTTCCCACCGCCTTGACTACGCCGCTCACGTGGTGAGGGGTCCTGCTTGTTCTCTGTTCTCTGAGGGTGCTTCTGTCTTTCCCTTGGAGGTCCTCGAGGACAGGCAGTTCGAGCTTGGTCTCCTTGCGGCCATTGTTCTTCATATCTGCGCCATGCTACTTGCCCCTGAGGGGGATCCAAACGCCCTTGACATTCCGATCCCTCGCACTCACGCCGAGGTAGTCTCGGGACTTTGGATAGCAGCTGAGGAGGCAGAGATGGCATCTTATAGGTCCACGGGCACTTACATCGACGCAGTCCCACCACCTGGGACGAACATCATCAGTTGCCGATGGCTCTACAAGGTGAAGCGACCGCTTGGATCACCACCTGTATTCAAGGCGCGCTATGTGGCGAGAGGCTTCAGTCAGCGAGAGGGGGTGGTCTTTTTCCAGACCTTTGCTCCCACCCCAAAGATGAGTACTCTTCGGGTGTTGCTGCATATTGCAGCCCAGCGCGACTACGAGTTGCACTCCTTGGACTTTTCCACCGCGTTCCTTCAGGGGAGCCTGCACGAGCAGATCTGGCTGCGTCGCCCGCCTGGCTTCACTGGCTCTTTCCCACCTGGGACCCAATGGCAGCTGCGTCGATCAGTCTACGGCCTGTGTCCGGCCCCACGTGAGTGGCACGATACACTTTGCTCGACCCTTGCAGCACTTGACTTCTTTCCGTCGTGTGCAGACCCGTCACTGTTCGTTCGCCGTGGCTTGACCCTGTTCTTTGTCCTGGTCTACGTTGACGACCTGGTGTTTGCCACTCCCGACCAACGCGCGCTGGACTCCGTCAAGGAGGAACTGCAGAGGA